CTCTCCTCCTCCCCTCTTCCCTCTCTATCTCTTGCAAGTAAGATCTCTCAGATCTTCCTGCTTGCATTTCAACAAATACATTAAACATTAATACTCATAGAAAAGTTATACACTGAGGGGGGATTAATTACATATCTTTGTAGCATTTGGCTTGGTTTGTAGAATAAGTTATATACTAGTCACTTTAAAAAAAAATTTAGTTACAAAATTATTTTAAAATTCAATTGAATTTTTTTTATATTATAATAAAAGTGCTAAAAAGCAATAAATATAGAACGCTGCTTCAATGTAACGTGTGAAGACCCCTGTTCCCTTACTGTTACTACTATTATTAGTCATATGGATAATTATTTCCACCCAGGATATCGTCCGGAATAAAATGACGATAGTAATGAAGAAATCAGTCAGTGCCTCTGTACTGTTCAGTAAAATTATTCGTCCTGCAAAAAGCTTCTGAAGAACGTCCAGGACGATAATTCGTAATATTATATATAGGTATCTGAATAGTTACTGGGATAACGATTTGGTGCGACGGAACCCACTACATCCTCATTTTTCCGTCACTACCAGGCCGATCGACAAACTAATGATCATACACTGTAAAAAATCAAGACCTCGTTTTCTGAAGACGATAGAGAACTAAGATTATTCACTTTTTTATCAAACCAGTATATTATTGAGGAGAGACGAACAGAGAAAGGGAAAAAGACGCCGAAAGCTTTGGTTTCGGAGCCCCACGCGGACACCGCTTGTGTGTTCTCCGACGTCGATCTGTTTGGGAAAGTGCTCGTAGATCTCGTGGTAAGAGCTCGAGCATCTCACCTATTTTCTCTCGTTTTCAAGCATATATTGTGTTTTGCATCCGAGTTGTGCACTAGTTTTGTGTTTTGGCGTAGTCTGAATTTTAGGACATGATCTTTCTCGATCTTGATCCATCTCAACTTTCACCGCACCACTTTTAGTATGTATATCGATATGCGACTGATTTTGTACAACACTTCAAACGCCAGATTGGCGTTTGATTTCTTTTCGCCACGATTTGTACTCCCAGCATGCAGCCAGGCTACGTGACTTAGGATGTCTAACGCACGCGCTTTTTAATTCGTGAAATAAAAAATATCAGGACTTGATTTGATTTGGTTTTTCTATAGAAGAGATTAAATATCCCTCTGTATTATATGTCGTGGATATTTCCTTCATCTTTTTTCCTTCTTCTTGTGATCCATCTTGGAGAAATTTGGAATTTGTCGGATTTTTTGCAGGATTTTTGTGCTAACATTTGACAGAACTCTGCCCTGTTCACTTACCCCTGGCCTCGCTTTTTCATATCGATTTCAAAGATTTTTCCCGAATACTTCCCGCATAAGATCTTTCTTGAATTGCACATTTGTGGCATGCTATTCGATTTCGCTATGTATCTGCTCCTGTTCCTACTAGATTAACTTTAATATTGATTATTCATCTTTATTATTCGTATTTGAATACTCGACATTGATTCTTGACAATATGAACTAATCTGACTACTTAAACTCTACCCTAGAAATATCACTTACAAGTGGAAAACCTGGTTGAACGTTGGTTGGAAAAAAGATAAATGATTCGATCCTGTTACAAGGCCTCATGGTCTTCGGGCTCCCTCAAATCGCCATACTCCTCCGCAACCGGGCCTTTCCTTTAAAACCATAGAAAGATCATTCGATATACCAACGCATGTTCGTTTCAATGTCATAAAGAGTTTAAGAGAATGACCCAAATAATTATGGACATATACATATTGCCGAGCTAGGGCAAAAAGAGTGACGACTCTTATTCGATTGAAACAACGTATAATGGCTATATCTATACAATACAGGCCCAATCACTTTAAAAATGCATTCCACGAACACAACATAGCCAGTTGCATCTTTATATAGTCTCACTATTATAGTATTAAGAATATATCCGATGTTTAACGCGTGTATTGAGTGTAAGATTGACGTGATTTACTCGTGATTTTAATACGATATCTGCTGGTAGTTAGATCCTCTTGATCGCATTTTACTGTTTTCCGTACAAGATTCTTGATTTCATTGATTGATTTGAGCATCCAGAATCCCAGGACTACTACTTATGGTTTGTAGTACGATTAAATTTGACATTGGATGAATCATGAGGTTGCTGTGGCCAATGTATGATTTTAGGGTATTTTAAGACTTCAATAAGATATACCAGCTCCAAGATCCACATCGTTGGCCATGAGATCAAAGAGCAGGACGGCTGGTATTTTACCAACAAGTCACTATTGTTCTTCGGCACCGATATTGATAAGAGATAGGAATTTTTGATGTTACTTTGATTCAATAGATACCTTCGTACCTTGCTTGCATAGGGCTAAACCGATATTGACTTTGATATGGGACTTCAGCGTAATGATTATAGTACAGAAGAGATTATAGCACTAAATTTTTGCTTAAAAATTTTCCCTATCACCAAAAGAGGCTGCATATCTCCTTGTGCTTAAGCATAAATTAATAATAATCCTCTTTTATGCACTTCCTTTTCAATAGTTGAAGGTAACCTGTTTTTACTTGATGTTTGATGGATAATAAGATAGAATTATAAATGGAATATATTAGATAAGCGAGTCAGTGGGTGACACTTCGTCATCAGTTCGATATTGCCTAGATTATGCTTTTTACATTATTGACATAATTGTGTACTCTATCTATTATTTGGAGTTACGCAGATCCGGGACATGCTATTGACTGCACACTAATTATTACAATTTGTTACTTTAGAGATCGGTACCTGATTTTATCGGAATGCTTGATTGATTGAATGGATTGTTGGCTTTGCCAGAGAACTTAGTTTGAGTGTGAGATTTCGTATTTAATCGTTCCAGAACAGATAGAATTGTCGTGTATATAGAGAGCTATTCTCGGTTGATTGATTTTCATTAACGCCAGCATGATTGGACTCAGTCAATTGTGGTAGTATGATTTGTTTTTCACTTGGTAGAGCCTTGATTTATCTGAGTTGATTCGAGTCTGTTTCGAACCCACCTGGATTTCCCTGATGAATAGATCATCATTGATTGGAAAGTGCTCTATTGATCTGAGATGATTTCCCTACTTGTAGCAATCGTAGCGTCGTCATTACTTGGAGCTGTCGTAGTGTCCATTGAATATTGTAATATTGATTTGAGTAAATTGTATTGAATATTTGGATTGACTGATTTGCAAGAATACGTTCCTGACACGAGTCTTTTAATTGAATTAATTGATGCATTGCGATTGCTATTAGTTGCAACTCATAAGACATTCCTACAATTGATTGACAGATGATATAAGATACACACGAATTGACTGACGACCCACGAGTTTAAAGTGAGTAACTGAATAGTGATTAGGAAATGCGCAGACATAGCACTGCTTACACGATGGTAGACATATTCGCAACTCGGCTCTTTCCAGTGCAAACACTATGGTACTGATTTGATGTTGAGGACGTAAATTGCTATTATGGGATATTTTACCGCTGTATTGATTATTTGACTACTGATCTGTTGATTTAACCGTTGTGTGACAAGCAATTAGACTATGACGTAATCTATCATTTATACGGGATTACTTCCACAGCCATTGCATAGACCATTCAATGATAGAGCCATTGAGATTGAACTTGGTTGTGAACGTTGCTTATCCTGTCATACCTTGATAGCATCGCCCCGAGATGCATTTACGCATATATTCAGCTTTGGTATAGGGTAGGCTTTGGTGACTGCTGGGTCACTTATGTAAGCTCATTATAATGTTGAGTTAAAGTATTTTCAGGTACGAGCAAGGCACACTGAATGTAGATAGTTTAACGTCAGAATGTCAGATAGTATAATACGAATCCTTTCACTATTGATTTCTGGGGCATCACATGAAGCCCCTATTTAGGAAAACTTTTGACCAAAGACTATCCCATATGAAAGTTTGGATTTTATTTGTGACAATTTTTGTCGTTACCTTTTTTGTTAATTAAAAAAAATTGTATTAAAAAATTATTGTATGAAACACTAAAAAAAGACTAAAGATTTTTTTCCAAATGAAACCTTTAATTAGCCATTAACAACATTGGGCTTAGCTTTATATCGGTTAATCAACATTAGTAAATTTTATATTATTTTTGGGAATTGATTTTTTTTTTTTTTTTTGGGGAAGATAAGAATTGGGGGACAATTTACAGAAACATGCACGTGCGCACACCGTATCGCACAACGAAGTCGAATGGATCGACCTTCATTGAGGATTTGCCATTGGGCCGTTATTGGGCCCAATGAGAAGCCTATTTGATGCAATGGGATACATTGATGGACGGGGTCCTCTGCTTTTCAAACTTTGAACTTCAAATATTTATTGGGTCTTATGGTAAACTTTTCAATTAAAAAATTTCGATAATTTTGTTTCAATTTTAATTACTTTTTTATAACATAAATAATTTAAACTTATATGTATTTAAAAGTTTAAAAATATTATTTAAGTGGTTGTTTGCTTTGGTGGAAAAGAAATACAAATTATTCCAAATAGGAATTATTCTAATTAAATTTAGAGGATAATATTTTATTGAATTCCCTTCCACTCTCTATTAGAGATTTAAATGAGTCGAGTATCGACTTAATCGAGTTGTGCTTGTTTAGTTCTTATTGAGCTCGAACTCAGCTCTTAAAAAGTTTTAGGCTTGAGCTTGACTCGCTTGTTGAAGCAAACTAATTTTTTGTTTGTTAATAGAAAAATTATCTTCTTGCAAAACAATGAAGAGAACTACATGCCAATATGCCATGCTAGACACTACACACGTGCTAACACAAATCCATGCATTCTCACACGTGTAAAAAAGCCTATCCACTCATCCATGCATGCAGAGTCTAGTCGCCACATTATTACCTACGTATCTTTCCCCTTCACTGCTATAAATCAACTTCATCTTCACTCCTTCACTTCACCAACCCACAAAAACTGATCAAGAAATCAAAGATGAAGAAACCAGAACTTTGTCTTCTTCTCCTCCTCTCCCTCCTCACCTTCTCCTTCTTTTCCACCTCCACTGCTTCCCACCATGACCAAAGCTACGACCTTAGAGAGAAGCAGGAGTGGCAAAAGGGAGGGAATAATCCTTACGTCTTTGGCGAAGAGAGCTTTGAGTATTTAGTGAGATCTGAGCAAGGAAAAGTTAAGGTGCTAAAGCCCTTCCCTGAATTGTCTCCTTTGCTTCAAGGGATTGAAAACTATAGGATTGACTACCTTGAGACTGAGCCTCTCACTTTTGTCGTGCCAACACATCTTGACGCAGACTCCATTTTCTATGTTGTTGAAGGTATTAATAACTTCTCCACTCTGTTCATTGTGTTGCAGCTTATTTTGACATTTCATAAAAATTTTGATATATTGGTGGTGGTTAAGGTGAGGGAGCTATTGCCTTATTGCATGAGGGGAGTAGGGAGTCCCATATTCTTGAGAAAGGAGACATCATAAGGGTTTGGGCTGGCAGCATTATATATCTGATCAATAAGAGCAAGAATCAAAAGCTCAAAGTTGCCAAGCTTCTACAACCTGTTGGAAATCCAGGCAGAGTCCAGGTACTGCAATATATATAAATATATATATTATATACTGGCTTGTAGCTTTGAGATGACTGAAATTGGTTGATTCTGTGTGCAGGTGTTCTACAGTGCTGGTGGAGATCAGGAGGCAGAGTCATACTACCAGAGCTTCAGCATTGAACTTCTGGAGGCTGCTCTGAATGTAATTATAACTTATTATACAACATGCATTTTAGGATTTGTTTGCGCCGGCTTTTTTTACTGTTTCTTAAAGCAATTTTTAGTAAAAAAATTTAATTTTTGCATCAAAATATGGCTTTACGAAGCCGCAAGAAAGCTGTTGGGATGCCTCAATCTCAAGAATTTTCATGCTGAGAATTGAAAAAATAATTGTTATTATAATAGAAATTATACGTTTAATGATTGTTCTGATTTGGTATGATCGATTCAATTGATTAGACAAGAAGAGATCGGTTGCATCAATTCTTTGCAAGTCAAAGGAGCGAGGCAATAATTAAAGCTCCAGAAGAGAAGATTAGAGCCATAGCCCAGCATTCCTCCAGATCAGAAAGTGGTCCTTGGCCTTTTATCAGATCTAAGAGGCCTTTTAACTTGTTGAACAAACAGCCAAGCTATAAAAACCGCAGAGGCCAACTTTATGAGGCTGACAAGAATGACTACGATGAGCTCAAAGATCTTAACGCCAGAGTCTCCTACACTGACATCAGCCGTGTAAGCAGGAAAAACTTTATAAAGAATTTTACAGTTTCATGATAAATTGCATAAACAAATTTGATTTTAATGTATTTGTAATAAACAACAGGGATCAATGTTAGCTCCTTTCATCAACACAAGAGCTTTCAAGATAGCGGTGGTTGTGAAAGGAAGCGGCTACGTGGAAATAATCAGCCCTGAAGAAAAGGATAATTGGCTCAGACAGAGCAGGAGAGAGCACAAAGAAGCAGAACCATGGCGCCAGCCGGAAGCTGAAACTGGGCGACGTTACAGAAGAGTGAGCTCTCTGCTATCAGAAGGCTCTGTCTTCGTCAGCCCACCTGGTCACCCAACAGCCATTGTTGCCAGCAAAGAACAGAACCTTCAGATTGTGTGTTTTGAGGTTCGAGCAGAGAACAATGAGCTGGTTTTTATTGCAGGGAAGAACAATATATTGAGTGAGCTGCAGGAGGAGGCGAAGGAACTGGCGTTTGGAGTGCCGGCGAAAATGGTGGATGAGGTGTTGAGAGGGCAAGAGGAGGAGGTTTTCCTGGCGGGGCCAAGCGAGAGGGAGAGGGAGACTGAGAGGGAGGAAGGAGGGAAGCATGAGAAGCCATTAAGGGAGTCTATTATGGAAGTTGTTGAAGGGTTTTAAGAAGGCTTCATAATATATATGTATGAGAAAGTAATAAGATCTAAATAAGAGAACTGAGAAGAGAAGCTATCTTCTGGCGTGAGGTCTGTAATATTATCTTTTATGAAGTAATGTTATGAATAATTTGCATGAAGTTAAGGCTTTTTTTTTTTGGTTTTTTTGGATTAATTATTCTGTGGACACCGGGTGTTATCCGGAGATCAAGCAGAATACGCCCTTCTCCCCTTTTGTCGGTATTGCGGCTCGGTATTGCTCCGTATCGCTGATGAGATGCATTTTGATTAGTCTTCGGACTATATTCTGCATCTGATCTCTGCATTGTTAATATATGATTGTTGAGTACATGTTTTCTTTTGTCAATGGTTTGTGCATAAGAAATTTGTTGGTTTAATTTGATTATTTTGTTATTATCTGCATGGGGGAGTTTTAATTTAAAATGAATTTCAATACTTTGACTTTAATGAAATTAGTGTTTTATATTTTTTTTTCAATTATATTAATTTTAATATAAATT